GGAGCATCTCAGTGCAAGTTTATTCCTTTCTGAAAAAGTTTTTTGGAGTGAGGATATTGTCACAGAGAGCATAGGCTAGAAAATAGTTAGCTAAAAAAAATACGAGTAAGCATATGGCATAATGTATGGAATAAACAACACACACTTTCTTTAAAGTCCCCAAGTTTTTCCATCTATGTATTGTACACTATTACAAGGAGGAGAAGTTCACAATGTAAGGTTAAGACACACCGATGGAGTCAAAACAGCTGAAAGGAAACAACGCTTACAACTCAGCTGCAAAAAGTTTTTGAGCAGAGAGACAACAGCTCCATTCACTTTTCATCCCATTCTTGTAATGTGGCATAAAAGAAGCGAGAGCAGAGGCCTTACGCCTGCCAAAACTAGTGCTACTGCTCTCCCCAGAATAAAGATCAGAGTGCGCTATAATCATACAAGTGGAGATCGGCAGTTTGGCAGTGCAACGTGAAAAGTCTCTGTGTAATGGGGCTGGATGGAAGCAGAGAAAAGAGGGGTGGGGTGTGTGGGTGTTGGGGGCAGGCAAGGCAAGGCGAGCATCCCTGGACCATTATCATGACAGATGCTGGCTAATTCGGAGTGATCTTCCGCAGCCCCATGGAGCTTTTGACAAAAGAAATAAATAAAGAAATGAAAGAAGACGAGGCTTTAATTTAGAAACGCCTTTGTAGTGCGTTAACCCCCCCCCTTCCCCTCCCCCCGAACTTCCAATCCAGAGAGACAAACAGTCAAACAAGTGGCGTGTTCAATCAGCGTCCTCCCTGCCTCCTCTTGTATCTCTGCACATGGAGGAACCGGCCTGAGCTTTACCACCTTCTCTTTGCATCCTATACCTCAGATTTACTGAGCGCTCGCTAGGGACCCACCATACAAAAATATCCACATGCAGTCTTATAGCTCAGCAGGGAGTGAGCACAATTGCGCTGGAGCTACATATAGTCCTCACTGACAGGCAGCCTAGAACTGAAATGGGCTGCGGAGACAAATATATTAATCACCCACGGATGTGAAGCATTCAGGGGAGGGTTGGATCAAGTATTAGAGCCTGTGCTTCTTTCAGTCACAGTTTGCTAAAACAAGTCTATCTTTAGCAATTAAAACTTAAAAGAGTCAGTTCACCCAGTTTACAGAAAGATTCATTTGTCTACCCAGACCTGTTAATATCAAGCCATGCAGATAGTTTGTTTTATTTGCCCAGGTTTCTGAGAGTTCTGCTACCAGCCCAATACAATGAAGTTAAATCAAATGTAGTTTGTGGTGATTGCATGATTCAATTTTGAAATTGACGTACTTAGTAACACAAATTTCAAAATGTCAGGAGGTGATGAGAGAGTTTAACACTCTGCAGCTTTAGCCTAATAATAAGACAATTGCCATTTTGTTTTCCCAAAATGTTGTGTTCACATTAGCCAGTTCCTGTTTCAGTATGATTTTTTGCTTGTTTCCTATATGTGCAGCTTATTTCTTTGTGCACGTGTTGCCAAATTGGTGAGTATTTCTTAATTTGGGGTGAGTTTATTTTTTTCCTAAGAAATGAATAAGGCGCACACAAAAGGGAAAAAAAATCCCAAATCAGATTATGATGGAAAACCATTATGTTGACAACAGCAGCAATAGCAACATCCATGTGTGAAGGCAGACATAATGTTCTTATAACTGCTTTATTCTGACACTCAAAACAATCAGAGATTACTTATGTCACATATTGACAACAAAAAGAATTCATGAATAAAGAAAAAAAAAAGTCATAATAGTATACTTTTACCCATGAAATGAATCCAAAAGAAAATTACTTTACACCTTTCAGACAATATATTCTCATTATAGAAATGACAGACAATTCAAGAACAAGTTCAGCTGAATTGAAAATACACAGATAACCCCACTTCATATAGGAATACATATAAAACAGTTACTGAGAGAATTGCGATATAGTGTGTGTGTATATACATTTAAATGTATTTACAAGTACTTTAACTTTTTTGCTTGGTTCTTTTTTGTACAAATCTTTTAAGTGGATTAATAAATGCACCTGCCAGCTTATCAGGGCTTAGTGAATACAATAGTATTAATAAATAGAAATGATGGATGAAGAGTATTTTCTGTGGATATGTAAACGTATCTCAATACTACTATTAATAGTACGAACAAATGTTTGGATCAAATGGAGGTCTGGTTGCATATTAAGCTGGTTATGGAATACAACAAAACCAAACTAAACCAAAAAATATCAAAGTGCTTGTTTTTATAAATTCACATTTAAATTACTTTTGACTTGACTGTAAGCATAATTAAACGTCTCAGACCTCCACAATACTGACTACCAGAGTTATTTACATGTTATGTCTTTAACATTTAAGCCTTGATAAGCTGACACTGAAACAGTTAAACAATACTAATTTTAACTTTTTCTGTAAACTGTAGACAAACCCGTGCAGACTGATAAGAGCTATTCCAGAAGACAATACTCAAAAACCTGTCCCTGTAATAACATGACTGGAGATGTGTGAAAGGAAGTAAAAGCCATGAGTCTGTCATGAAAACCCCCATGGTGAGATATTTCTTTGGATAACTAATATACGCATCCACAAGTGTCTGTCTATTTTATTTTATTTTGTTAATGTCACGTTGAGCAGTTGACCAACAGGTCTTTTGACATCAGGAAGCACAATATATAAATATATACATATAACTAAAACTGCAGATGCCTGTGATTCTTGAGAACAACCTACTACTAAGACTACTGGTCAAACTATTGGGAAAAAGTTGGAATCAATTTATGATGAAAAATTTAAATTTGAATAATTTAAGTTCATTCCAAAATATCTGTGCTACAACTTTAGCTACTTATGCTCAAGACTCGATGGAAGACCAATCTGATATTTTCTCACTTTCAGTTTAACCCCAACCCTTCACAAACAATTGCTTCACCCATTGCGTGTGGAAGCATGTGCACCAGCTCAGATACTGCTTAAGGAGACCGAATGGTTTAAACTCCCCAAAGGTAGTCCTTCATTACTTGAGATGAGGAAAATCTGATTAAAGGTACAATCGATAATATTCTTGCCATAAATTTGAGGTCAGCATTAAGCTATCGTGATGTTATTACAGGGACGTAGAGTGAAGTCATGTAAAACTGTTAGCGAACTACAGTATGTTAGCAAACTGCATACTCTGACACGTCCACGTTCTCCTCCCTCACACACAACACACAAACACGCACACATTCTAATGCATATATATGTATATATTTATATATAGCACGCAGACACACACATTCATATCAGAAAACAGATCTATTTCATTCCAGTCTAGCTTACTAATAGTGGTCACTAACTGAACACCCACACAGGTTCTCTGCTGCAGAGTTTATACGACATGGTAAAAATAATATTCAAAGTTTGTTTTGACTCATATAAAAACCCCAAATGGTGCGTACGTACTAGCATATAAAAGGAAGAACAACGTTTGTTTACCCACATAAAGATTTAGTTTGACTCGTGTGATAATGGGTTAATTTTCTTTTTTTTTTTTTTTTTGATATACAACATTACTCTTTATAATTTTAACATCTTGACTAAACATAACTAGCTGTATATGATACTTTTATAAATATGTTACATCTCGGAAAGTATTGAAAAACTCAAAAAAAAGTGCAACAAACATTTTTTTTTCTTTTGAGACCACAAACACTTCTGTGAGTACATTTAAATTAAATGTTATTGGCAATAGCTTTGAGTTGTATTTCCATAGCTGCACTAAAATCTTGACAGCTAGCAGTAGCTACACAGAGATTTTCTTTTCAATCCACCTCACGTAGCACAACATTGTAATAGAAACCAATGCAATCACTGTATGTCTAAGAGGTGAGCACTGCTGCACTCCACACACATTTACATTGTGTCGCCTAACTCCTGGGTGCTTTTATATAATATCTTACTGTACTTGTCTGTGAATACAGTTGAAAATGTTTTATACAGTCTATGTCTACATAAGTATTTTACAGTAGCTTTAACAAAGAGCAACAGTAGAGTCTTATTTTATCATCCTCTCTTAGGGTCTCTGCTTTAACAAAAATCAGCTCTTCTAGAAAGCCGTGTTGCAACGAGGAGAAACCTGCTGGTTGTGTTAGAAATAAAACTGTCCTGCCTGCTGAGAAGTGAATAGCACTATATTCTAGTTTGAGTTTCAGTTAGCTTATCCTGAGGTAAAACATTTTGTGCAATGCTTAAAAAAGAGACCGGTGACTCGTAGCAGAACAGCCCTCTGTCAGCTTCGCCCACCTCAGTGCTGTGTCTTTACTGTGTGTGTAAGTCGATGTGGAAGATGTTTAGTGTTGCGTACAGTTTATCTGCCATGGTGTATTAGTGAGGATATGCAGCCGTGTCTTCTGCAAAAGTTCATATGCAACTATTTAACTTTAGTGATTACATTTTGGGGAAAACGCACACTGAAGACAAACAGAAACTGCTGCACACTGTTATGCAATTTTTCAATTAACCGACCACCCATTCAGTTTTGTTGAGAATGGCCCTCAGGTCCCAGAGCCAAAGGTGGTACCCTTTGTATTGCTTTGTGTTCAACCAACAATCTAAAACCAAAGAGATCTGATTTACAGTAATAAAAAAAAAAAAACAGGAAATCTGGAACCAGTAACTCTTATATTTATTTTTTCCTTTATGTTTGACTCAAAAGATTACCTGATTTTTTTATGATCAACCAATCAGTCAATAGACTAATGGATCTAATCCACTACAAAATTCTTGCAATAAATCCTATTTACAAGCTACAGCCTCTGGACTGCTTTATATAGCTAGGTCCTGCTCCTCCATATTTATGTGTATTTTCTTTCATCAAATTATTTCAAGCAGCATTAAATATAATTCATGCCCATACAACAATATCACAATATAACTACAAAATGTACCATTTCACGGAGTAGACACATGAGTACTAACACAAAAACTAAACTTTTTAACTAAACTTTTTAGGTAAACTCAACGTATCAGACAGATATACATATAATCTTACAAACTGCAAAACATTCAGTGCCAACGTTTTAAAAATCTATAATTTCTACACTATATATATATTTTTTTAAATTCACTCTTTATTAGGGGAACTATTTGCCCTATGAAAACACTTGTATAATGTCTTCTGTTGTTCTGGAGGAACCTTATAAAGTCTGAAAAAATAACACTAATGATGTCATCAGTCTGTCTATCCAATTTCAGTGTTACAAACTAGGGGAGAGAAGTTTAAAAGACGTGGCCATTTACCAAACAGGGATGAGACAAGATGTGAACCCCAGTTGATGGCGGGAAAGACAAACGCTCATCCCCACATATTTACCTTTGGCTGTACTCATTTGAAATGCTACGCAACTTTGTCCCTGAACATAACCCGGCCAGCGTTCCCCCTAAAACATAACCGCCAATGCAGAACAGTTGCATACAAACGTACAGTAATTTGCAGGAGACTGAGCTGCAGTATGAGCATTGTGAGCCCAAGACAGAAAATGTGTAACCCTTTACTCTGCATGCTGTCATACCACATAGTACAGCATGTAACGCACAAGTGCACAACAGTAGGACAGTCCAACTTTTAAAGGAAAACAAAAGCAATCAGAGCAGTGCTGTCTTTGAACTAAGAATTACCAAGGCATGTAGTCACCGTGTGGACTGATCTCTTTATTTCTGCATCTTAAATGGAAGATAAAAGTAAAAAATAATTAACTGGGATGGATCAGTGATAAGTGTTTATGTGATCAGACCCAGTATGTTTCCTGTTTGTCATGTAAACATCATAAAAATGCCCTAGTATATTCTTAGTCAGATGACAGCGGCTGCATACACACACCTCTGAGCATGCATCATGCGTGCTGCAGTAGGCTCACATTGGTTATGGTGACACAGCACCCATATTCAGCAATCAAGGTAATGCATATGTGCATAAAACTTTCCAAAAGAAAACCAAAAGCACAAAATGAATACAAAAAAAAAACAATAGCAGACCAATGATGACATCAAATAGGTTGCTGTAGAAATATCGGCTTGAGAGGGTGTCAGGGGAGGGGCTCAGCATTAGGACCTGGAAGCTTTTTGTTTGATTTAGCTCTCCACCAAGGACCGGGTGTTTGCTTGTTTTGAGTTTGTCTTTTTTTTTAGATTGTTTTTTGTTTGTTTGTTGGGGTAATGTCTCTGTCTTTTTTTCTTTCTTTTAGTAGGGAGTGAAGCGACTGTACCCTCCTCTGTATAGGCTAGCCTGCAACATCAAAGATGAAAAAGTACCAATCAGTATTCAGGTGACAGCTTTAGTCGGTTTCTCTTTCTCCACAAATTTCCTTCCTTTTTCCATGTAAGTTATTTATATCGGTTTCCATATTTAAATGATCATGAGGCGGATTGATAGTTTGATGTATTTATGCCAATAATTGGAGTGTGTGTTAGGAACAGGGTCACGAGTTAAGGTGGATTGGTGGAGTTGGAGCTTGATTGCTGCAGTTGATAGAAAAGAAGTTGTTTTTTTATATAGTAGCATAGCAAAAAGATAGATAATCCTAGAAACACTGGGCCAGGGTTACGTGTTGTCTTTATCCAATTACTTTAAGTAATACATTTAAAGATGTTGTGCCTTTTTACTTGAGGAAAACCAGTGCTTTTCAGGCTCTAACAATAACAGAGATTCACCCAAAGCAGAATAGGTTCAGAGAGGTTTAATCACTGCTCCTTTTCAAGTCTAGCGGAGGTGTCTGCACCTTTCTGGCAAACCACCACAGGATATTAGCCCTTAGATTTAGCACCATGCTCAAGATATCTAGGGCAGACACACAAATAAAGCATGCATGTGGGCCTATGCATGCACACCTGCACATGCGCACGCACACACACACACACGGTCTCTCTTCTCATCTTTCGGTGGCTCTGCTGCAGTTGGGAATTCAGACAAACTCCAAAGGCTACTGAATGTCTTCAAAGGCTAATTTTGCCTAATTTCGGGGAACCCTCTTGCTTGTAGAAAACTTTCATCCATATGAGATACTTCTGTATGCTGGAAATGAGTAAAGAGAATTTCCAGCCTCAGAGGAACTAATTATTGTATAGCTTTTAAATGCAAAAATGACTCCTCTCTGCTGGGAAACCATTCATCAAATATGATTAAAGAATTAGAAACCAAACTGGTCTTTTTCTGTTTCGCTCACGAGTTTATTCGATGTCGGCCTCACCACAGCCCATCTCCCAGTAGCTTTGCCATTTGTTCAGTACACCACATGAACACACACACACACACCCTCTCTAGTCTGTGTTAGCTCCCTGAGCTCCGAACACACACAACATTAGCTCCGATATTTTTGGGGGCCAAATCCTGTCTTCTACTTTCATCGAGAGGACGAACAAAGTGTCAGAGAAATGGAAGGAAATTTGGAGGAAAAAGAATAAAGAATAAAGAATAAAAAACATTCAAGCACATTTTTTAATTAAGTAAATGAAGAGGGAAAAGAAATGTCTTAATTAATGAAAGCTTTTAGCTAGCAGCTGCACCGGGGAACTGTACGTTTTTTTTATGTTGTTGAAAAATCGCATGCATGCCGGAATTGTAAATTTCTCATTCCTCTTGCAGAGAGCACCCCTCCGATCAAGCTTGTGGGCAGGAATGAAGGGCGAGACTACTCCCTCCCTCCCCCCGTCTTGCTCTCTCTTTTATGTCCCACGGCACACTGCTGCATGCGTTTGATGATCCTTAATCTCTAGGTTTGGTCTGTGAGCCCGGTCCCATCCCCTCATCATCATAAAACAAAACCAAAGAGAAACTCTCTCTGCCTCAAAAAAGATGCTTTTATATTTATCATCACTTTTCATCTTTGATGTTACAGTAGCTGCAAAAGCTAGCTAAAAACAGACATTAACAATTCAACTTCATCCCTTCAAGTTTGGTTTGGCTGAATGAAAAAAAAAAATAAAAATCCAACTCACTCTGTAGCGAGTTGAATGATGTAGAATGAACAGAAAGCTTGGAAATGTAGTTGTTATGTAAGATGCAAAGATTATGTTAAAAACTCACTGCAGTAATCACTCATTCTCATTTCAGAAGGAACTCGTGTCAAATGAATATTGCATGAGGTGAGCTTGCGTGGCATAATATAAGTTTATTGCCCTAAGTGTGTGAGCCAATTTCCACATGCCTGGGTTTTACAGTACTGATCAGCTCCACTAGGGTGTGCCAGATAGCATGACAAAAACTAAATCATTTGATGAATAAATACAGAAATAAAAACCAGTGACCGCTACAGCCTCTGGTCTTTATTTTGGAGTGTGAGTCGTGTGTGCGTGGTAGCTCGTGATGTTTCAAACAAGGTGCAGACAGAATTGGGCGGTGGTCTCATAGACTTACCATAGTTCCCACACTGTATGTGGCGGCAGGGCCAATCGTGTGGTGGTAGGGGTCTGCTGTTGCATAGACTCTGCCATAGCTGCACAACAGGAGGCACAGAGAACACAGTCATTGATCTATCATTGACAAGGAGAGCAGAACATTTATGCATGCTTGTTTAATGCTCAACCCCTCAAGTCAACTCTTTCAAGTCTCTAACACAATCAATTATTTCCCTCCTCGGCCTCCTGGGCTTCCTACATTATACAAGGTGGTTCAAAAAGGGGAGTTCAAAGGTTGGTGAATTATACTTGTCTTTTCATTGTCATCTTGATTGGGTGGATGGAATAAGTAATGAGCGCAGAGAGAGAGAGACGGAAGAAAGATGCAGAGAGGGAAACACAGTTGGTGCTGGAGGGCTTGGTCTCTCACCCTGTTCTTGTTTACCCAGGCTGCACACTGGGCTCACGCCCCTGTCTTTTCATTGTTGCTGGTTTGGAACTAATCCTTCCAATTTCCTTCTGAGACAGGACAAGATGTGTCTGCCTTATTTATTTATTTATTCGACTTCACATATTCCTCTATTTACTTGCCTGTTTTTTTTTTTTTTCAATGCTCGCTTGCAAATGAGGGTCTGCACGGAGCAGATAAGGCACACCCAGCCAAGGACTGAGGGCACCAAATCAACCAGGAATAAAAAAAGTGGAGAGAGGAAGAAATTCTCCTAAAGGAGACAACAAGACATACAGCATTCATGCCTTTCGCATGAGCTACATTGAGTTATATAAGATCTAAATATGGCTCGACCCATTTAAGTCCAGCAGCACCCAAGGTCAGTGAGCAGGACATGAAATCAGAAAGGCTGTCTCGGCTCCTTGGGGAGGAGGCCGGTGCCACGAGATGGTCAGGGGAAGTCTCCGTGGTCCTCTTATCTTCAGTGAGCACCGAACCCCACAGGCCCTCTAAGGCTAATATATCTACAAAATTACTCTCACCAGAGTGGCACTGCTGACGACCAGCAGGTCAAACCACCCTGTGCAATGTCACAGAGCCTCAACAGAGCTGACTGGAAGCCAGCAGGGTTTCTACAATGTGACTGGCTCCTCACAAGGCCACTTTGATACATCAGACTCACTGGTATGAACTCTGTTTAGTTACTTAAAGGGCTTTGGTAATGCAGCCAGTGAGCACTGTAGGCTTTTCAGATAATAAATGTTTCATATTTTGCAGGGGTTTCACACGCCTTCCACAATCCTGGTGACCTCTCTTTATGATTGGCTGACTGCTCCGCTGTTAAGTCTGATAAGGTATTGCTGAGACAATACCGACAAACTCCTATTGATCCAATGGGCATGACCGCTTATTCAAAAGGAAACAAACAGACAAAGCAAAACAAACAACTTGGGGGTGAATTACATTAAATCTCAGGGAAAAGTATAGGCAAGAGAAACAGGAATTAAATCACTCTGGGAGAGAAAAAAAGCTGCTGTCCAATTTCTGCTCTTGCCGAGCACGGCTGCTCATAATTCGAGCCGCGGCGAGGCCTGATAAATCTTACATTATCGATATGATCTTCAGGCTCTCAGGCAGGGTGTACGTTATCACAAGTGACATGCTCAATCCTTCCCAGATTAGATTCCCAAACCAGCCCACATCCCGGCTGACAACGGCTTTCAGGGGCCGAAATGAATCAGCGACGCCTCCTCAAACGGAGCACACCTGAACCAGAGTGACATCACTCAGAAGTGATAGAGTTCCTGCTGGTCCATCTCTCCTTCTCTCTGTCTCCCTACCTCCCCTCCGCAGACCTGAGGCCATTCATAAATACCGCAGTGATATACCCACTCTCCCATCACAAGCAGAGAGTCACGACATATATCACTGCTTTTCTCATCGAGTCCAACAAGGTTAGTCTTTTTTTTGTGTGTTCTTTAGCTCCAAGCTAAAAAGAATACGGCGGTTTGCCTAATAGATAAGATAACTGGGGAGGAAGAAAAACCCTAAGAAACCTCAAATAACCTACACAGAATATTAAAAATATAGAAGTGCTGGTGAAGCAGCCCTCCATCCATCACATACACTCTCCATCTACGACTGGCCGGTAGATGTGTTGCTTTATGTTAGGAAAGCACTGTAGTTATTTAACCAAAAATCCACCCTTCTACTTCTACATTGCTAGTTATCATTTTGTGATGTTAACTACATTCCACGACTTATTTTGTGATGAAGTGTGTTTTTCAGTGTACCCGTTTTCCTTCAATCTTTCTCATCTATTTCTACTTCAGTCAGTAATTTCCTCTATTTGACAGCCTGCAGGATCAACTTGTTGTTTTAAATTAATATTGTATAGATGTGTCTATCATTTTACTCTAAACTAAACACGTGTTTTCACAGCATTACATTCTGTTTCCTCTGCCTGCTGCTGGTGGGGGAAAATGCAATCTCTGCCTGCTCTACGATGGATCTGTGTTTCCTTGAACACATGCAAAATAGTAGCTTAACAAAGGTTCTTGCTCATGCTGTTTTGTTTTTAATTAAATGTTCTATGAATATGCAATTTAAACTCTTGACATGACATTGTTTATGTTTGATGGAAATAAGAGAAACTAACCAAACGGACCCAGACATTAAAGATACGTTAACCTAATAAGGTGTTTCAGATCTGGGACTGTTGAGGCATGCGACACTTTCAACATTCACCAGTCTTTGTAGATAACGGTACATAAAGATGAATTTCAATGCAGGCCACTTAAAAAACATGAAAATTGGATGAAGGGGATTCTCACCTGTCACTGTAAGCAGCGGTGGTGGTGGGCTGGGCAAATCTGTATGCTGCATAGCCACCCTGTAAAAATACCAGAGTGTTAATCAATGATTAAGCTCAACCTGCACAGAGAAAGGTTAGATCTCAGAGACACAAGCAAACAACAATACAGACATGGAGCTTTAAATTGCCTTAATGGTTAAATGTCACTGCACAGTATTTTGATCAAAAGCCCATATTCCCCACCTGCAGGTTCCCTTTCAGACACCAGAGGGTGCTGTTTGATATATGGTGTATTAGGCAAGTGGTGGCAACAGGGCAATGAATGATGATCCGAGAGGCAGCAGAGTCATTGTCACAGTAGAGACTCATCTGAATAGCAGCAACACCATAACAGAGGCCACGTGAGCCAACCTCCCAAATTCAGCCCATTTTAAGATTGAGGAGGTTCTGCCGCTACATTATTGAAGAGCCCCTTTTTCCTTTACACGACCCCCCTGTCTCACAAATGAGGTAAGAAGGCAGAAGACGGTTGGACCGTTGGGGAGTCAGGACCGCTGTATTCATTTGCCAGAGTGGGGAAGGAATTAAAGACTTCATTGTGGAGTGCTGCTATTACTCTCTTTGAAAAATGAAGCTGTTCTCCCACTGTTTTTCTATTAGTGCCAGTGGAGTGTGTGCCCATCTGCGTCCATACGGTGGATAGGTGGCTTTTAATAATGCATGTTTTCATTCATTTTTAAACTCAAGGGGGGGAAGACGTCTGATGAAGAGTGGTGCAGAGAGGCAACGGTGTGATGGTCGCAGCCGCGGCTGCTCGTGAAATCAGGTCAGGGGCCACAGCAATTGAATCGCGCTCTCCCAGTTCCCCTCAAGGTTTTCCACGGAGACAGGAAGTCACAGCACTTGAGGCAGATGACTTCCTGTGGGACAGCCATGCCTTGGGACTGTGCTGATTACAGCAACAGCCTGAACAAACACGGACCAATAAATCACTCTCCCACATTGTCAAATCTTGCACACAACAGTGCAGCACATTTGTTATATTGTCGTGCGGGGTGTGTTTGTGCATTCGTGTATGTGTGCGCTCATGTGTGTTTCTACATTGAGGCGCATGCATGCATATGTATTAGCACAAGCAATATATGTAGTGTATATTTAAATGTGTATGCATCCAGTTTCCCTTTCTGCCAATGTATTAGCATCTATTTCCAAAAGGAAGCTTCAGCACATCATCCCGCTGATTTTGACAGCAAGCTAGTGTCCACGGAGTGATTGTGTAGGACATTGAGGGCTAAGGGACAGCTTCCTCTTGGTCACTCGAGACCTTCACGCACACTCAGCCCGTCTGAAGCAGTGCAGTGGCCAGTGCCAAAACTAATGACAGTAAAGCACCAGGGGCTGGCATGACGGGTTGAGTGATGGACCAACCTGGCCAGGCCTTGGTCAAGGGACATCGGGGTGCAGGAATTAGCTGGAGGTGGCTGAACAAGTGTGAGAGACAAAGCGTATCACTCAGAATACAGCTCCTGTCTCGTCTACGGTGGTGGATGCTGCTACAATAAAAACCAGTGAAATACAGTCCCATCATGCAGGCTGGTGTGTAAGTCATATATCACTGGGGTTCAACAATTCGTTTCCAGAGACTGGTCGTCGTCTGGGTGAAAGTGAGAAGAAACTGTGCTGATGTGCCCACTGTCATCTTGCTATCTCGGCAGACGGTGGCAGAGAAAAAGAGCAGCAGAATCAAAGGGACAAATTACATCCTCCCACAAACGTTTGGACTAATGTCAAAGTGGGGCAGCGTGGTAATTTCAGCATTATCTCCACAGCGTCCATGCTTTTCTCTGTCAAGGACGACGTGCAGCAGGGCCAGCCCCTGATGTGACCCTGCCTGCATGGACATCTCCAGAGGGACGGCTAATCCCTTTATCTGCTACTGCTCCTCTTATCTTCCACATGGTGATGGCTGGGAGGAACCGGCTCCACTCAGGCCTGCACAGAGCCCCTGGGGCAGGCAGGGATGTCCCAGCCAAACCCTCTGAGTGTACACAAATGCAAAACAGGAGAGAGGAGGAAAGAGGTAGCGGGGGGGGGGGGCTGCCGAAGACAAGCCACCTCAAAAATCCAGACAAATCTAAAGTAAGAAATGACCTAACTTGACACGGGACACTGAGCCTGGTACTGCCTCTTTGCCAAAGTCTGAGATCATAGGAAGAGCGAAGAGAGAGAGGAGGGAGGAGCTGAGGGGGTTTTAAATTTTGTTGTTGGGTTTCTTGGCACAGCAGACAGGGTCCTAATCGACGCCGGCTTGGCACTGAGGCTGGGAGAACGCTGGGGGGTGAAGAGATCACGTTTTTGTCTCCAGGGCTGGGCTTTTTGTCTGCTTTACTTCTGTTTCATCTAAGAAGGCACGAGGAAAAGCCAACTGTACTTACATAGATCTCTGCACCATAGAAGCCATCTTGGTACACCACCCTGTGAAATTAGAGAAAAGGAGCGACACGTTAGTTGATTTGGTGTAGATGCTACCCTACTGAATCTCTGCAACTGACGTTCTTCCTATTTCAACCATTTGTGGGTCTGCGGGGTCAGCTCTTAGCAGCGTTAGTGTACTGTACCACAAATAATGAATGACACATTAAAGCGAAAAGTGCAACCGTTTCACATCCCCGTCCAATTTTCTGCTCTGGTAAAATTGTTTGTCTTTCCAGTTGCAGCAGTGTTGTCAGGAGAACTGGTGGTGGTGGGGAGAAGAGGGGAGGACAAAGGAAGGCAGCGAAGGAGCTCCGTCACATGACTCCGCTATATAAATCAACCAGCTGCCATTGGTAGCAAAGGGCCCTGGAGTGGGAGGGAGGGGAAAGGGGACGTGGGATTTCCAGTCCCGGCTTCAGCAGCGAGTCTCTCTGCAGTAAGAAGGATCCTGATCTAATCACAGATAGACAGCTATACTGGGCCCTCGGCCTGCCTCCGTCAGACCTCTCCCACGGCCACACAGACCACTGCTGATAAGAGACGAGTGTGAGGCAGGGCTGCACAAAGCCAGGAGATCAACATAGGCCCTGGTCACAGTCCAGTGAGATCTGCCCAGTAATACGCTATCTCAGCTCTCTACAGCTCTCCCTATGGCTTTGTTAGTTCCTCCTTTCTCAACAGACATCATACAAATGTAAGGGAGAGTTAGGGCATGCACATACCTAGATACTAACAATAATTTTACTCCCCAAAGACCTCTCTAGGAAGAATAACAAATTAATGGACAGAAACACCCGATGACCAGTATAATTTTAATAAACTTGGGTTAACATTAGTTTACCTCTAATGTGTTTGATCAGTTTTCCAATATTGAAAATGCACGGTCTGATCCCACTAATAATCCCCACTAATAATACAATTAGGACAAAAGAATATATCACACTTATTACCCCACTCCCCTGTTGAACATAACGTGCATGGTCTTGAGACATAATCACATAAATATCTTCTTTGAAATGACTAATACACACACATAAATACATTTAGACAGAAATTCAATTATAGTACAGCTCCAGCATGTGCATTCAAACATGTAATTGGAGCAGGAAAGTCTTGTATCCAGTCACACACACTACAGCATGAACACAACTAAAAGTCTGGGACTGTCTGAAGCGCTCATTGTTGTGTTCTAGATTTGGGTTAGAAATTCAATACTCACGCTCCGTAAGCTGGGATTGGTGGTGGTGGTGGAGCTGTGCGGAATGTGTTGTACACAGCCCGCCCCCGACCTCGCAAGTGGGCACCCCTATAGGCCACCGTAGCGCCTGTGGCAGGGTAGGGAAACCCTGTAACTATGGAAGGAAACACACAAGAGAAGAGAAAATGACTTTCAGAGAGCATCCTCGACTTGGCATTGCTTACCTTATGACAGAATACATTAGAGAGAGACGTGTGGCACTGCTTTCCCTATGACAGAATGCATTATGGGGAAGACAAGGAAACAATAGATTTAATCTTTTCTAGGTGCGCCTCATCGAGCACTCTCCCCTTTCCCAGCTCGCTGCTTTGTGCCGTACTCAGCAAGGATCCACATTTGCTGTACGCATCCTTTCCTGATGCCTGGCGAGGGGCAGCCTTGAAGCATAGGCAGGTAATGGATGCAATACCACTAGTTTCGCACCACGGCTTTTGCATAGTTTAGACACAATGGGCTAGCAGCAAGGAGAACAGTGGGAGGTGGACGGGGAGAGGTAGAGGGCGTTTCTAGGTGTTTGGTAGAGTCAAATGGGAGGTGAATGTTGTTCTAGACCTGACTAGATGTTCAGAACTTTCCCTAGGGGTAAATGGAGCAGATGGGCCGGACAGCCAAGGCCCAAACCTCGGCATGACCCCCATCTCGAAAACCCATCTGGGACCATCTTTAGCCAATCACACAGCTAAATATGTTCTCTGCTGACGGCTACCAGTGAATCAGGAAGGGAGGGTTGGGGCGAAAGTCGTCGGGGTGAGTACTAAGGGTTGGAGTGATGGTGCAACAAAATGTTCCTGGTCACAGATTAGAGTACAGATGATGTGATCCTCAACTCTCTACTTAACCTTCAATCAGTCCAGAGGCTGTCTGATTACAAGCTGTGGAGGTGCATACAAAAACACAGATCTCTAGACATGATTAAGTTGGCCTCCTATTCAAAATTCCCTCACATCCTCCATCCCTCTGTTCTTTACCCTCTCTCCCTCCCCCAATGCCTAGTCCATCACAACACAGTCATCCCCATTATTCTTCAGCCCCAGCAACGCCCCCTCATCACCCTACCCTCACCTTATTCTTCTTTATTCATTTCCATGACATGTTTTGGGTGAATTCATAACAGACCACTTCAGTTTCCCCAAGCAGAGATCACTCTGTGACGGGGAGCTGTGAAGCTCCTGTCTGGTCTTGTTGGGGCTGGGGTGGGGGTGGCTCAGCCGGGGTGAGTAACAGAGGTTAATAACTTGTATCCAATGTGTTTTAGATGAACCCTCTGCCACAAAGGAGACGACAGCAGTCCCTCGCAATCGCAGATAAACTAGACTGCAATGAAGATCCATGGTAGCTCGTATTTAATCAGTGGCGTATATGTTTCTGCCCGGGGAGTGACGGCCCGGCGTTACTGTGCCGTGTGCAGCGTTAACCCTGCAGGTGGACGAGGCCAGTGAGCATCCTAATGAACGATGCACACCCTAGCCCCGCTGCTTCAATAAAGCTGACAGGGAGACAGATTAGTGGTGCTTTTAAAAACACAGAGAGCCAGGTTTAATGTCTTCTGCCATTAACATCACGCTCCATTAGTGGGTCCGCACACATATTCAAACTCTGCGTCTCATTTGGCCAAGTAACGCCCCCATAGCCCCCATCCACACACCCACCAAGGTGCATGGCACTTTGTTTGCTGCCAACATACCAATAGACTGCCTGGACTCGCAGGGTGCCCCCTTTCCCCCAAGTGATTTATAATGCTGACCTTGACATTTAAATTAGTCTCTTTTTTTTGGAGCAGTGGACATCTGAGTGCAGTTGCTAAAGGGCAAAAACAATCCTCTTTGATAGTTTCTGAGGTGTTTTTTTCCACTCTTAACAAATTTCTTCTATTTCTGGGCCCCAGAAAGTCCAATTGGTTCCTTCTTTCCTTTTTGGAAATATGTATGCAATATGCATGCCGTGATGTATGTGAATGTAAACTTATAATGAGTTGGCGATAGGCTACACTGCTTCAATAATAACCCATAAATCAAAGGCACTGTCACACCTTGGTAAGCCTGTGAAAAGCAACAACAGCCACAGTGTATGAGAGCACAAACCTGGTCTAGCCACCAAAGTCAAACACCTTTTCCGGGAGGGGGGCTGGAGAAAATATGAGTTATGTGCTGGAGGGCGGCAGGGTCACGCTGCACCTCATATGTCATATGTGTCAACTTGAGAGAAGCTCAATACCTGCAGAGCCAGTTGGACCTGAGGTAATCCAGCTCTGTGCCAATGATGGGGTCATAACCGGCTCCCATAAAGAAAGATCTGATTTTCCACAAGGTTGATCTCTCTAATACTTCCTGCTAAAATACATCGGGCAATGAGCACTTAATCCACGCACTGGGGACCAAAAACAGCTTAATCTAATCAAGAGTCTGGAGCTTAATTACCCCCCTAACGTACACTCCAACAATGAAAGGATCTGTCTACATATATTAAGATGGCAATTAGCCTTTCTTTTCTGTCATTTACACAGCTGGTAGCTTTTCACAAGTCCTCAAGAAAAACTCCACCTTAGTAGCAGAAAACATGAACCACTGAATGAAAAACTACTCGTCTCCCATCTCCTTAGGAATTAGCTGCAGTGGAAAGTCTCTCTCTGTTAGCCTGAGGGGACTGGCCATATGAAGGGATTTCTAGGTGGCAGCTGTCCATGGTGCTGAAAACATCCACCATGAGGAATAATCCAGAAAACTTTGCCAATTATTGTAAAATGGGGTAAACAGATCTTCCTCCGAATGTTTTTAGTTATTTATTTAATTCCATTTTCTATGTTTTGATATAATATTAATCTCTGCACGTATTTTGTTATTTCATAACAAGTGTGTTAATGTAAAAATGATTACCCTGATCCATATGTGTGCATGTATACATATATACAAATACATATGTGTACATAGGTTAATGTACATTTATTTAAATATTTTTTTTAAAATACACTGACACATATGCATGTGTCACTTTAAAGGGACCAAGGCAAAGACAGTCAGATGGTTGTTGTTATATATAAGGAGAGACCTATATAGAGGCAGGCAGCTGAGGACATATTCTGGGGTTTGCTCTACTAAAGTTTTCATATAAACCAGATCAGTGCAAGTAAAAGGGGACAAAGGTGAGCACAGATACTGGATGCCTACCAGCTACAACACACCATGATTTGTGCCACTGCCATGTTTTATTGCCAATACCTCCATTTGACTGGGAACCCAACCACCTTGCTCCTCTTTCCTGGACCAATAACCCCTCCTCCCCCTACCAGGGCTCTGGGGGAGGTTTGGGTGTTAGGTGGCAACAGAGGACATGGACTCGAGGTTGGCGCCGCCTGCCTGTACTCTACCAGCTACTCCTTGCCCCCCTCCTCCATCAGTAGGAGGGGCCTATCTACCCTGGAAGAGGTTAAGAACGGGGAGCCGGCATGAGGCTCTCATCCGTCATTCTCCTGAATGGGTTTTGAGGACAATAAACCTGTAGCGCCAGGACGAATGGAGACGAAGTGTGCTGTCACCGAGCCAGGATTTATGGCTCCCAATTTCACTGATCTCCCGCACAGAAATGAGGACTGATAAACAGTGATTAATCGCCTTTATATCCCATTTTACTCCCACCAAAAGTATATTAACTATAGCTATAATGATTTTGGAATACGTCCTGAATCCCGCGAACCTGATTCTTGTTGATTTTTTTTCAGGGAGGGGAGGAACTTCATAGTCAAAGGAATGGTCAGAGGTGTTTTTTTCTAGAGTGGCCTTTTGCTACTCATCAGGACAGTTTTGTTTCAAAAATGTATCTCTTATTTATGTTTCCCATCTTCCCAGCTGGCAAGCATATGTTGTCGTTTAGGCTTGGCAAACTCCAGTGCCATGTCAAGACGACTTGAAAAATTAGCAGCCAATAAATCACCCAACCCCTCCTGCTTCCCCTGCCTCGAGTGGTGGACCACACTCCCTCTGATTTATGAGATGATTTGGGAAGTGTGTATGTGTGTGTGTGTGAGTGTAAAATGGAGAAAGTGCGCAGGAAAGAGGAGACATGTATTAGTGTCTGAGTTCTTCATAGGTTATCTATTTCTGTATACTATAATGCTTTGGTCCGAATGTAAAAAACAGAGCAGGAAATTGTGTTGTGTGTGTGTGTGTGTGTGTGTGTGTGTGTGTGTGTGTGTGTGTGTAGGTCAGAAAGGATTGTTTTTACAAGTTAAGACTTACTTAATGTCCAGATTTTTAATTTAGTGAAAATTCCCCTGACCATGGCATAATGCAGATGTTTGAGCATGTGCATGCGCCTACAGTGGGATATGTGTATGTTTATGTGTGTGAATAATTATCGGGGGAAGATGTTGAAACCAAGCGGGGGGGGGGGCAGCGTAGGGAGGCATGAGGGGGGTGAGGGGTTGGGGATGAAATAAAAATGATAGATGACTGCTTTCTGTCATGGACAGTTATTTAGAGGTTCGCCGTAAAGCTGTCCGGGGAATGAACAGATTTTAGTCTAATGAGCAGAAAGGAAAGCCGTTAAAGTGGCGCGATGTGCTCAGCACTTCTTCCAAATGAAATAGTACCATTTCCCCCTCATTAAAATGCAAAGGGTTCATATAACATACAGCAATAAAGCTGGCATGTCGAGGGAGAGAGAGATAGGGAAAACCCCACTGAGCTCATCTCATTCCTCCATTACTGAGACCAGAAGGAATAGCGGCCTTCGACAGGGTAGGTGCCAACAATATCGCTCACTCAATCTCCCTTATTCGGTTAGCTCTGTAAAAGTCAATCTGGCGCACTTGGCAAATCCATCCACAGCAGCGGCCTCCACAATCTGATAACACTTGCAGGGGCGCTTGCTCTTGAAATCATTTTTTTCAGCTTTACAGTTGCACACCGCGCAAACAATGGCTCAGGCTCCCTCAGCCACTCAGAGGGGCTTGGATCATCCACTGCTTATCTGGGCCGCTCTCAGATTCACTTTGATTTGAGGGGAATTTCATGTTCAGTAGGTTCAGGATGAGCCCGATTGTAGAAATTCAGGGGTCAGATTGGGATTGGTTGCGGCTGATAGTGGCCTCAGGTGTGGAGCTGTACATGCAGTGGAAGGTAGAGAGAAAAACACTCAAAAGTCTAACTGCAGAAGCTGTAGGTCTCTTACCAGCATACAGTTCAGGACCATAGACAGCTCCTACCACTGGATTCAGCTTCCAGCCTGGTAAAAGAAAAAAGAACCTCAGCTGACTATGAGAGCTAAATGGAAATATTACCTTTCAGGTTTTATGATACAGTTTGGCACTTACCATTTGTGTAAGGGTTGGCCACTTTTTTGTTTGTCATCACTCGTGCTGTTGCATTGTTCACCTGTTCAAAGCAATAAAAAGCAAGGTCTGTTATCACTGACCTTTGCATTTACTATCCAGATATGCAGAATGGGCCAAAAGCAAGCAGCACTCCAATACAAATAAAGGCAAATTCAAAAAATGATAAATAAATAAATGATTATGTAAATGTTTGTAGCACTTTTGTGTGATTGGTTCACCATTTAATGAATTTATTCATCATTTACATTCTCAACAGCTTATTAAATTACTGGAAAGGGGGGGAAAGCATGCATCAATTACCCACAGGTACAAAAAAAAAAGAACATTCTCCAAATTCAGTAATTGTTTGGATAAACAAATAGGTTCCAAAAGAAAAACACAGGCAGTGCTTTGATTTCTTCTATTGACCTGATGAGAATGACTGAGTGGGGGCTCAGCTCATCGTAAACAAGAGCAGAATTAGAGCAGGCAACACTAAACGATGGTGACAGGGGAATGCAGGTCTTCTCAGATTTGACAGGAACCCAGAGGATGATGGCATGCATTCATTCAACATTGTCAGGTATTGATGGACAACCAGCGTGTCCAGGTTGACATGTATAGATCCCGTTTTCTACTGTGAACCAGTTATACACACCATTATGCATGCATGCATCCAGGCACGCATACATTCAGGGATGCAGACATCAACACACACAGCAGCCACATGCTAAACCATGCGTTTATAGGTAGGTTTTGAGGCAGCAGGCAGGAAGTAGAAAAAGATGAGAAAAGGGAAAAATTTAAGCACCTCTATTTTGCGTCCCTCTACGATTGTACCGTTTAGTTTCTCCCGTGCACGATCTGCATCTGTGCTTGTTTCAAAAGTTACAAACCCAAAGCCCTGGGAGCGCCATGTTAGCCACCAGTAGAGAAAAAGGAGAAGGAAAAGGATGGACACACATACACACCCACACACAGAGAGAAAAAAAAGAAAGGGGAAGGGAGGAGAGAAGGGAAAGAGAGGTGAGAAGACAGGAGTAGGTGAGCAGCAGCGGCAGCAGAGTCGAGTTGTAAGCAGCCAGATTAATTAGAGGCAGTTAGTGAGGCGTCAGGAAACAGCAAACAGAGAGATCCGAGGAGGAGAGGATAACGGTGACATGACCTCACACAACAACACCAACAAACCTGCCTACTTTACCCAATTAAACAGCACAGCACCGGTGCCACGGGTGAATGTCAGAAAGCAGTGGATGCAAAACACTGTGTTAGCAGCCATAATAGTCGTATAATTATCTACACAACTTCAGCAGCACGGCCACTCAAACGGCCCGTCTCCCTTTGAAGACGTGGGCAACAGGAGAAGGAGTGAGTGTGAATTCTCCAAAGAAAGACGTTAACTTGATCTCTGACTATTTCTAATTCACTGCTCTAATAAGTAGGGCATTTTTAGGGAGGCAAAATTACACCGGCCCATTGATGTGAAAAAGTGAACGGTGTCACTGCAAATACCAGCCTCTTTGATAGAGAAGAGCGAGGATATTGACTTTAAAACCCTGACCAAAATATACCCAACCTCTCATTTCCATCCCCCTCCCCCCAACTCTGTCTCCCTCGCTCCCCTGGGGGGTTTGTCACTTCCTTGAGTTATGTGGACTGGGATACTGGACCTGAGCTCTATAGGAAAGCATTAAGATATGCTGGCCAAACAAGTCCCATTCCTTTGGTTTCTATATATATACATATAGAGGTATGGGCAGGGGAAGAGGGAGCATGGCCGGCGCTGCCTGATAATTGCTTGAGGATGTAATACATGTGAGAGATGGCGAACAGTGTGATCTCGTATGCATACACAGGATCTCTGGGCTGCTATTCCTAGCATAAATAACACGGGACCTGTCCTTGGGGAAAGAGAGATAAAGAAATAAATTCAAAAAAGGAATTGAGGGCAAAATTAATCCTTTGGACATTCACCCGACTGTGGTTACCCCGTCTATCTTTTTTTTATCATGCACAAATAATTAGCTTACAAGAGGGGAGAGTGGAGCCACCATTTTTCAAAGGAGACAAACATATTGAATGCAAATTGCCAAAGCTTCATAGGAAATAGATTGTTTATTAATGGCCTGGTAGGTTCATTATGTAGCACAGAGAGAGAGAGAGAGAGAGAGAGAGGCATCATGGGTAATGGCTTTGTAGGGCACAAACAATAAATGCTTGTTACGGCGGAGGAGGCAGGTTTATCCGGTGCTCAATCTTGTTGGGCAGAGGGGGCCGAGTGCAGCAGCGTCGCCTGGTTCCAGGGCTCCATGCATGCCTGTATACGAGCCCAAACTACTCCCAGGTATGAATGGGAATCAATAGTATTCATGCCTCAACACCCAGCCAGGGATCCTGTCTCTTTTATGAATGGAAAGCTGTGGAGCTTAGTACACTCTATTAAATGAACGGCTGGATGAGTAGCACTCGGCTGTTCACACCACCGCAGGCTTTACCTGTCCATGGTAGGTGGTTAGGAGACTAATACTGCAGTAACGCAGCAGCACTGTGGCTATTTTTCTGGTATTCTTGGTTTAGGAGGGAGTTCAGATTATTTTAGAAATGCATAAGTACAGGGTAAAGCTGTGCCAGAAAGACGAGGTTAAAATGAGATTTTAAAGGGTAATACTTGAATTAAGGATAGGACAGTCTATATTCAATATTTTTGTTAATATCAACAAATCCCTCAATAAAGCCTAAATATTTTATTCATCTGTGTCATTGAGATATTAAAAACACATCATTGTGCCACCATGAACACACAGTAGTTTATTTTGATTCAATCTCACATACATGCTGCCAGAAATACTTAATGGAGCACCGGATGTGGATGAACAACAGAACTATTTAGTCCTGTAACGTTTACTAAAAACATTTTTTTGTAAAATACTGAGCATTTTAAAGAATACATTTGGATATGTGTGGCTCATTTCTTAAAGATCCACAGCTTCAATAGGAACTAATGGGCCACAGACAGAGTAGGGGAGTGCTAAAAGAAGGACTAATACATTGTTAGTTTCGGTCATTTCACTGGATTTGTTGTCCAGAAAGTTATAGAATAATGCCAGGCTTAGCCTTTAACTAGCTCCGTTTAAATCACAAATGATGGATGTTACGAATGCGATATGATTCAAGATTAGCGAGAATGATCATTTTTGCATCACAATTTTCATTTTCACTGGAAAAACTATTAAAATCAAGATGATGTGGCAATTGTTGGGGTCTGTACCAAACGTGTTTTGTACAAGATTTGCAGCCTGGGGTGTCTCTGTAGCATAACAGTACTTACAGTAATTTTTTGTGTTTGTTTGTTTTTTTTTTGCAGTTTCTTTGCCATATTTCTGCAGCCCTGTAGCAAACAGATGATGGTCTGTTTGTTCAAAGCTTGAAATGTGGGTTGAAATTAGGATTAGCCATTTTATTTGCAAAAACTCCCACAGAACATTACTCTTTATACATTACCGTATATTTAAAAACAAAATGATAAAACCTGAACATTGTAGGACCGACATATAGGCTTCAAAGAGGACCCGATCCCTTAACAAGCAGTTTCAATTCCATAAATTCTGCAGCCTGCTGGTGGATTAAGTGAATTGTGAAACAGCTCAATAATGAATTGATTGACAGGGCTAATGATTCACAACTTGCATTAGAGCTGCAACAACAAAAACAATAGGGAGGGAGGGAGAAAGAGAAAGAGAGCCATGGTGGATGCAGCTCTCCAGGACCAGGCTTAAGGACCACTACTCTCAGCCAATGTACACACTACACTAATGCCATCATTAGGAAACAGAAGAAGTACATGGTAATGAAGCAGCTGGCGTTCTAGTTCACTTACCTTGGATCCTCGCTCATTAAAGATAATCTCCACATCTAAAATCTTTCCAAATTGCTGCAGAGAGAAAAGAAAAAGAGAAGAGAGGGGCAGAGATGGAGTTAGAAAGCCTCACTGACTGTGAATTCATGAGAAGAACGACTGGAGAAAGAAAAACCATTAAGGCAATATGGAAATGTTACTTTTGTGAGGAAATGGTGGTCAATTTGCATTTGTTAGCTCGGCAAACAGTTCTTGAAGCTGGCTGGCACACTTTAAAAAGAGAACTCGTAGCTGCTGCTTTAATGCATTTTTATATTTCTATCAATACTATATGAAATGAGATCACAGAATCTGTAAAAATACTGGCTCTTTGATTACATATCAGCATTTCTGATGTTTGTTTGCTTACATGTTTTAACACAAAGAGAAAAAAAGAAGCATCAGATTATATTTTGATGTTGTCTTGATATGGAAACCCCCTCCGCTTTCATGATCACCTGGGGAAAACTCACTTCTTCAAGTCTCCTGAGCGGATAACTGAGCTCTGACTTGTGGAAAGTTTGGCGAATCAGTTCTGTGTACATTTCTATCCTTTTTATGCCTCTCTCTGTTCTCTCTTCTTTATTCTCTCTTTGTTTGTGTGCTCTCACAGTCAACAGACCTAAGGGCCAGTCCCCAGGGGTTAACATGCTCCAGCCTTTCGATTTAACAGGCCTGCCTTCGGATCATTAGAAAACAGTGGAATGAAAGTAAACTGTAAGTTCCTCTAATGAGTGGAGTAAGAGCGACTTTTAATTGCTGTCTACAATGGCCGTATTATTTCATTAAAAGTAATTACCCTGTCAAGCGGTCCGCGTCGCCTTCATTTCGGCACAACAGGGAAGAAATGGGCCTTCCATGTGGTCGACGCTCAATGGGAATGGATGGATCGTTTGACTGAGCCACTAATAGGGGTTAGGAGGAGCTGGCTATTATCTGGCTGAAGTGAGTTGACTGGGCTTGAGGAGGCGAGGGTTTTTGTGTTGGCAGAAAACGCACGTTCCCTCTCACTTGAAATGGTTATGCAGTGACCTCACCACACCATGTTAAAGGTAAAACAAAGCTTGGTTATTTAAAACCTCCTCTGTTTCAGCCGGGTGTATCTCATTCCCTGTATGTCCTTTCTGGTAAGGAGATTCCATAGATTCCACACATCTGGCTCATATGGCGCTAAGCTTCATTGATTCAAATGGGAACCGTTGGCTCGATCACACGCACAGCCATTTATATCGCAGCATGATGCCCCTTTCTCGCCTGAGATGACAATGCTTTCCCCACGCAATGTGCAGATGCTAATTGTTTTAACCGAGCGTAATGGGCTTGTGGCGTCGATTAATTAGTTTCAGAGGAAGTCGTCTTTGTGGATTTCCACATGGCGCAGGGGACTGCTCGCTGCTCACCAGTGATCTCATGCGCTTCTATCTCCACCCACCCACTCACTCACACATTCACACACATACACAGAAACAGCTGCATCAGCAGCACCAATAAACAATAGCTTCAATGGGAGGAGTCTCCAGAGGGAGGACAAGGGAGGCTGACGTCATCTAAGAGGCTGTAGCTAGATCCATCCATACATAGACTATAACAACAACCCAACATCAATATGACAATAAAACCATAAACAAGCATGCACAAGTTAAAGGACCATGCCAGTGGTTTTGCAAGTTTTACCCCATTTATCACATATTTTATTTTTGTACTACAGTTGACCATGTTGAAAGTTGTGCTGCCACATTTGAATCAAAGACATTTGAATGGCCATTGTTATCCATTCAATTCTGTGGTACAGTACATCTCTTCTCCTTGTGTGAGATTGTTTTTTGTACATAGTCCCTGACAACTAAATGTAATAAATGCAATTTCCATCTGGCTTCCATTACATTGTCGTTATTAAGTAACAGTGTGCAGAATCATTCTGCACTTAAAATACATTACGGAGTACTAGAAACTGATTACAATGTAAATCCTAAAAAAAGGTTGGCAAAAATGGAAAGTATACATGATTTGCTGTTGAACATTTACAAACACACTGGTATGGTTCTTTGATACAGTGTGGACTTACTGCCTTTTGCCTAAATTAAATTACAATTCACTGCCTTAAGCCTCCAAGTGTGGGAAGCAACAAACAAGACCAAGGCCACTGTGCCTCCACCTTTGATTAGCTTCAATATCTTTAAGCTCTTCAGAAAGCTATAATTAAGCTACAGCAGCCCGCGTGTATTCAAAAAGTAAAGCGCCGGTGTAGAGAATGTTCAGGCACAGCAGTCAGTGTGACAGCAGGATAGGGGGAGGGCAGAGGTCCTGATTGCTCCGGGGAATGCTGTAAGAGCCCTTACGTGCACTGAGAGAAGCACTACTGAATAACCCAGTCGCACAAACGAGGGCACCCTCAAGCAGCGCAGCACGGGTGCCGCACAGAGTGTTTTCATTTCCTCCGCACTTACTAGCTCTCAGAGATCACAGTTTCTAATTACTGATTAAGGTCCGCTGTGGTCGTCCTAATGAGCCCTTCATTCAGCGCCTCGTTAAAGGCTCACAGGTTTCTGCACATCCTTAATCCTGTGTCGTGCAGGGTGCATTCCAGGTCCTCCCTTCTTGTTTTAGGGTGCCAGCTCCGAAGCTCAGTGCTGGTGGTGAAACCTTTGCTGCCACCACCATAGAGGGTTTCCTCCCTTTTTGCTGTAAAGGAGCAGATGGAGCTCCTGGTGGGACTTTGCTCTGCTGTAGGGGCCAGTCTCCTGCTCCTCTGTCTTCCCGCAGCATGTCTGTGGGTTTCACTCATGCGAAACAGTAATGGTGTAGTGAGCCGGTGGCGCTCCAGAAGCCATTAGAGCTAGAGGGATGAGGCTTTGCACACGCTGATCACACAAAGGCTCATTGTGGAGGCCATGTCAGAGGGTGGAGCGGACCAGCTATCTCCTTGCCAAGCTCTACCCAAGACAATCAATCCCACAATCCTCTACTATGCCAACCACCAAGACAGGAAGGGGGGACATGTAACAGGAAGGAACAGGGAACACGTGGGTGAGTTGGGTGATTGAGGGGGACTGGGTGGGCTGTGATCAATTTTGTATCGTATATCTGCATGCGTCGGCCAGGCACACAAAGCCTCAGAGCTAATTACTGAGGCGATTTGGATTCCACACGACCTGCACCAGAGCTGGGAACAATAAAGCCAACAATCAGAGAGAGAAAGAGAGAGAGAGACGCAGCCATGTTGTCTACAATTTATAAAGCCACAGCCAGGCCTCTCGAGTAATTAATATCATCAGCTGGATGTTGTCTTCATAACGATGAGAATTAACGCCTCTGGGTTCTAATGGTCCAATTAGCGCATAACATTTAAAGTACATTTTTGGCAATTGTCTCCATTCAGATCCATTATTGTTATTGAATTGGGGATGTTTGATTCAATTCTTATTGAGGCTTTTGTGAGACACAAGGGTGAGCTGAACCTCATTAATTGGCCGAGAGAGAGAGATAATTTCTCTTGAAAACCTCTGGTGTGCTGATACATAATCTGATTGCATTTGTCTGCAGGTGACCACTCTGTATATGTAACCTCTAAATAGGTAATCAGGAAAAATTATTTTCTCAGTCCTGATTTCAGCTGACACTTGTGTGAACTGTTGGTTCCATTTATTTTCTCCATAGTTTTATCCATCATTCCTTGTTGTTAATAATAACAACCAAGTTAATTGCTGTGCTTTGGGAACACTGCAATATTGCTAAATTACTTAGCAAGAACAGCGTTGTTATGACCAATAAATAAAGGCCAAACCCACAAAAATAAGGCCGAACTTGGAATAAATTCAACCATTCCATCAAGGTACTCACCCCAAACATTTGCCTTAAGTCAGGGTCCCGGAAGCGGAAGGGAATGTTGGAGACATGTAACCTTTTGGGCTGCTGCTTCTCTGAAGAGTCTGAGTGCTGGAGCTGGAGCTGCTGAGAGCCCTCTGTTTGCGTCACATCATCTGTCTGCCAGAGGGAAACAAACAGAGAAAAGACACAAGCTGCTCATTAGCTGCTACAGTATACTGTACCTCCCGGTCATGAAGTATGGAGGGGGGGGGGGGGGGGGGGGGTGTTGAAATAGGAGGGTGGCAGGGTGCAGGGTAGGGTGGGCGGCCTGGCTAACTAACTTACTCAGCGTCTGCCATTTTTCAATCCGGCGAGAAAGCCGAAGCGATAAACAGCCGATGACTTATAGTGTCAAACCTGAGGTTGTGCATTACAAATCCACTTATTAGTCTCTTGCACTTAGCTCTTGAGCAACAAGGAAGATTGACGGCGCTGACAAAAAGGCGTGGATATAGATCCCACAGAGCCCTGACATGTCTAGACTAAAGACACATTATTGGTGACGTTTGCACACAGCCATCAGAGTGCGAGGCCCAAAGCCCTCAGCGTTGTTGTTTCCATCATTATGCGAATGCTATGCTGACATTTCTAAATAAATGACGTGTCTGATGTCAATGACAAATTCCACTTGTTTCTCACTGTGACACCGGTGATGGATTTCACTGAGGGTGTTGGTGGCTTGTCTGTTTAGATGGACCTTGTTTTGGAGGCAGTTCCTATTTCTGGTGTAATGGTGTACAATACCTCATTGGTCAACAGCATAGTTTATCCTCTCTTTAATCTGCAAGTCTTCATATTTGGCAAAATAGGTTGTGAGTCTCTTTCAAAGTGCATTTGACTATTACACAAATTGTTCATATAAGAGATATACTGTGTATATATCTATCTATCTATCTATACACTTATAAATACAGGAACTAGAGCCTGGTGGCAATTAGCCTAGCTTACCATAAAGAATGGAAGCAGAGGGAAACTGTAAGCCTGCCAAGTTAAAAAATATTCCTACCAACACCTCAAATGATCCCAAATTAGCACATATCTTGTTGATTAATCTGTCCACAAACAGATGTAAAAAAAAAAAAAAACAGTGTTGTGTGTGCAGCATTATTTGGAGTTATGTGCTTCGCACTAATTTTGCGGAACAAAAGAACTTCCTAGAGTCTTGTTGTCACAGTGAGGTTGCCAGGTTTGGTACCATCATTGTCTGAGGCCGATCCTAAAAGCTGTAATTACAGACCTTATCTGGCATCCCTACTCTAAAGCTGGTGACGCCACACAGCCGCACTGAGCTGATTAATAAACTGTTGTTTATCAAGAAATATCAGAACCTAAAAACCACAAATTGGCATTTTTACATTTTCTTTATGTACAGATAAAACAAACAAAACATTCCCTGTTAATTAGTGAGCTTTATAGGTGTTGTAGGCGTGTATTTGAACTTAGAAGAGAGACAGTTGTGGTTAAAAGAAATAAGTGGTGTCAGACACAAAACCATCTGCCTGATTGCCTCCCAAAGAGGTTTTCTATAACAGTGTCATACTACTTCCACCTTCTGAGAGAGGACAGTAATTACTCTCATGACCACAAGAGGTCACTAATCAGGAAAACATAAAGTTTGTTTTTATGATTTGAACAAACTGCCAGTGCTGTGTTTTTGTTTAGTTTTTTTGGGGGGGGACCAGTGTCCATTCCTCAGTAACAAGCAAATGATTAAAATGTATAAACCCCCTGATTTAGTGCCGGTGACTCGGAAGGGACTAAATAAAGAAAGACAGAGGAGGGGAGAATGAGAAACGAGGGCGTGGAAGTGGCAGATATCGAGCACAAAAGCAGTTTGAATGTGATATGTAAACTGCAAGGTCTCCTGGGAAGTGCTCTCTGAGCACGGCAAACACACTATACACTGAATAGGAAGTCACATACACAGACACAATCTTGTACTGAGATACAGACGTGAAAAGGGAGTAGGTTGTTGCCAGAGTACAAACGGTTCAAATGACACGCACACACGCACACCGATAACCCTCACCCTGCTCTGAGGCTGTCAGACGGCTGCAGGCCACTCTTAGTGATACATTTCCCACCATTTAGGAAATGGGGTAGGGATTTATTCATTATAATTCATCATCACAGTATTATCATCATCATCATGATCGTAATGATGATCGCCTTTATTATTCTCATTATCATAATCACAATCTCCACTGTAATGGCCATCATTTATTTGGTTTTTATGGCCCATTCCAAGACGGTGACATACATTGTTAACAGTGACAGTTGTTTGATTCAAGGTCCCACTTTGTCTCCCCTGCAGCCATCCAGGTAGGGCAGGTTGGTGGCCGCTTCCTAAGTCCCGCGTGGGCTTGACGGCATCCGGACCACAGTTTAACACGTGGCGAAGGACACGGGAGCTGGAAAATGCCACCCGGCTGGTAAGGAGTGGATTTGTGACAGAGCGAGATGGGCAAAGGGGTCTTAACTCTGCCGTGTCCTCGCGTGCTGGAGGTTAATAGCCTGAGTAGCCATGTTGGGCCCTGGAGGTGACACATTGCAGACAGATGCTGGGACCGTGGAGGGTGACAAGGTACCAGAGCCCCTCGGGTCAATCTGTTTCATCGGTCACACATGACACTATCGACCTTTAGCGTATGTTGCCAGACTACTGATCACCACTGTCCTGCAGCCCTGTCTGGCTGGCTTTTTATCACAGCAAGCGCAGTCACATGTTTGCAAACATCCAGATTAACTTTCACTTGGCGCTCAGACAGGCCGGCAGCATGCTGACATCGGGGGCAAATACACATAGGGAGAACACAAATACTGAATTGCTGACTCCCAAGCACCCAAGACTGCATCCTACTAACTCAATAACTTGGAGTGTCACTGAGATCCGGGATGCCTGCCTCTGTGCACCGCTCCCGAGGCTCCAGCCTGCCTAGTTCTGAGATGGTGGTGTTGCAGTGGAAAATAATTACCTCCGTATTACCATAGGAGGCCACCTTCAGTGGCACTTTACTGTCCCGACAGCTGCTGTCACGGGGAGGAGGAGGAGGAGGGATGCAAAACACGCCGTCACCGCCAAAGCCAGCAAACCAGAGAGTGAGAGAGCTGTCAACTCCGGCAACTCTCCGGCTTCCTGTTCAGTCATTTCTCTAAAAGACTCCCTTGCTGTTATTTGCAAATCGCCTGCAAAGTGCTCTGCTCAGCACTTTCTCCCTCCTCGCAGAGTGGCATTACAAGAGCATAATTGAAACTATCTGATTGGAATGCTGCCAAGCAGGTAGATTACATCCGATTAAATGGGGGGGGGGGGGATACTGAGTCTTTGCTCACAAGAATTATAATGCCTGAGCTTTAATTCATTATTTTCCTCTCCCAGCCCTCCACTGTTTTTCTTATTCTAAAGAAGCTGCAAATATATCCCCTCTATCACCTGAGACAGCATTGGGTGTGACAAGAGTGAGTGAGTGAGTGTGGAGTAGACCGGCCGCCCCTACTTCCTCCTCCCAATTCATATAAAGTAGCAAGAAGTTGAGGAGTTATTTACATACCATTAACCTATAATATCTTGAATGAACGGTCTGGTGATATTCTATACTTTTTTATAGTCGACAAATCCCATCAAAAGACCAGTGACTGAACTGATCCTAGTACTGTTTTGTGTGTGTGTGTGTGTGTGTGTGTGTGTGTGTGTGTGTGTGTGTGTCAGAGCCTGCTATATCTTCTTCCTCTGAGCCATAGAGCTCCAATGTTGTTCAAAAACTATTAAAAACACATCATTGAGCCTCAGTGCTGCACTGGGTGGCATGTTATTTCATTACCATGAACACAAACACGGTGGTTTATTTTGACTCAATCTCTGATACACTGTCCTGCTGCCCCAAATACTCACTAGACCACCAAATGTCCATTAGTCCGCAGCTGAAAAGAGTCCTTAACGTCGGCACCATTTCCTCCTGTTAGAGTAACATTTAATAAAAACTATAATGAGTAGTTTTACTGAACCTTTAAAAATAATTTAACTATATAATTGTTAGGTATTTTTAAAGATTTGCGTCTTTACTAGTGCTTGGAATGTGGAGAACACATTGTTAGTTTTGGCCTTTTCATGGGTTTTGTTGACAAAAGAACAGCCAACCAGCCTTATCCTTTAAATTATCTAGGAGAATTTGTATGTTGAAGAACATATATCTGTATTATATCTATAAAAGCTTTGAAATGGGGATTTACAGTGGGGGAAATCAGGGGCTCCTCCCACTTACAGATAACACAGTCATTCCCTTTAAAGGGTAGCCTACATGCTGCCATCAGCATCGCCTCTGAAAGCTATACCCTGGTGGAGTCTCAATCCCTTAAACACAGCTCATGAGAGATGAAAGAGTGTGTGCGCTTGTATGTATGAATGTTTGCATGTGCTCGCCCATGTTTTCTGCATGCCCTTGTGTGTTTGTGTGTGTGTGTGTGTGTGTGTGTGTGTGTCTATGTCTATGTTATCACAGTCCCCCAGAATACCCTTTGGAAAGTCTTCATGCCGCTGACACGGGCTGTGAAAAATCTGGAATTCAGTGCTGCACTAACGCCACTGCCTTAATTTGTTATCTGAAAAGAGAATGATTACTCATGAAATTCAACCAAACCTCAGACTATTTGAACTGAGCCAGATAACGAGCTCAGTTTTTTTTCTCCAGTAGAGCTCCCTGGCAGCCCTCTGCTACCCTCATCTCTAAGGATTTGGAGAAAAGTTGGGAGCTGCCTCTCTTCCTCAAGTCTCCTGCTTTCAACTCAGCTTGTTTGAACATGGCACAGAGCGAGGTCCCAGAGGTCTGGCTCTGGACAACGCCACCTTCCCAGTATAGAAGAGGGACTGGTAGACACAGACAGAAACAGAGAGGAGAAGCGAAGAGAGTCCCTGTGCCTCATTAAAACATACACACTCTCCGCTCTCTGCAGGGAATTCACACAGAATCCATACGTTGCACAGAATTTTCACTCTCTCTTGACTCTTTTTAAGTCTTTAAGTCGTGAAGATGTGCAGAGTAAAGTGTCGTCGTGGGGTAGAGAAGCTGAGCGCAGCAGAGTCGAGCCAAGGGAGGAGGGTGAGGGGGAGAGTCACAGTGAGTAGCTGATCTGCTCCCTCAATCTGTGTTTCTGCAGGGTGCCCTAATCAAAGGCACCGGGGCCCGTCTGTGGCACCCAGAGCAAACAGGCTGGGTCTGTCATTAAAGCTGGGGAACACAGCGGTGGGCAACACTACACCAGCAGCCCCTGAGGATTAGACTCTCTGTTTACACCCCACTAATCTGATCCCTCTGTCCTCCCTTAGAAGAGACGGGTGGAAGTGGGGAGAGTGTGGATGCAGAGAATGAACATGGGGGAAAGCGGGGATGGCGCAAGAGGGAAAAAGCATGAAGGAAAGCAAGGCGAGCTCTCATCTCTCCATGGCCACCATCTCTTGGCTTTCTTCACAGCGGGTGAACAGATGAAATGAAATCAAATGCGAAATGGAGAGGGGAGACAGTGAGAGATAGCGAGTGGAGGAGTGGTGTACAGTGTCGGAGGGGGAAGGGGGAGGAGGAGGAGGCTGAACCTCCTGCCAAGTCTCTCCTCACTTTAAACTCTCTTGTGTGTCAGCCATTACTGTAAGTGCGGTGCATAACCATGGAGCAGTTGGAGAGCGTCACACAAATCTTCAAATCAAACATTGCTACATTACAGGGTGGTGATAATACGCTAAGCAATGCTATTGCTCTGCTTGTGCTGTATAAGCACTTTTCCGCCGCCAAATGTTCGTAGCCGTACGGTAATTGTGAGCCTGGGAAAATGGAGTTATTAACTATGCTCTTTATGAGTGACCCAGATCCCTCTCAGGAGGGCTGTGGCCTCTCCATGACCTCTCCCAGCAGGTGTTTTCATGCTAAAGGAAAAAAGGTCTGTAGGTCTTATTTTTTTCATCTCTGCCAGCATTATCCGTCTTTCTAGACATGTCTCTAAAGTTTGGAGCTAAGTCGTCCTCTTTTTTTAATCTACATCTACCTCTTGTGAAGGTAAATCCCAGGTCAAGGCATTTCATATAAGAGTATCAGCGCACATGAATGAAATGTTTAATATATCATTTAGAATTCCACTCACTTCCAAGCAGAGTAGCTAAACGTGCAACATTGCCAGGGGTTTGTTTTTCTCTTTAAGTGCTGATACTTTAAATATATGCATTCTTTATGGTGACGTGAACATTTGTGGAAAAAAGGAGTATAATCAAGGCCTGGCCTAGTTACACAAAACATAATGTCTTATGTTTAAATGATTCTTGAACATTTGGTTACAAATAAGGCTTTTAAGAAAAGTGCATCTCTCTTTTGATCCTGTAACTGACCAAAAAGATCGGGAGGAAGTGTGTGTCCTTTCAGAGATCCTGAATCATTTATGTCTACAGCATGTCACATCTCCTTCTTACAAATAAATAAAACAACTCAGGTTTATATGTTTTTGGGGGGGCCTCAAAGGGCGCTTAAGAAATGCACTTAAATTTTCCACCAAATTCACCTCCCACGTCAAGCTATAAGTATTGCCATGACATCAAAGTGTTCTGCTACTTACTAATGATCTGTACTGTTACACTCACTCTCAGTTTCACTTTTACTCTCAATCCTCAAATTTTATTAAGAAAAGTAATTTTTGTGTATGTAATGGAAAAAACATGGGAAAAAAAGGACAAATTGGAAAATCACTTAGAACATGGTATGTGTAGCTAAGGGTAATAATAAAGAAGGACTATATTTGCAAAGTAAGACAAATTCTTTTCTTAAATCTCTTGAAGTACTTTTTTGACATACCTTTAAAATCATGTATAATTGTATAATACTGTGATTTATGCAATGCATAATTAAATATGTAATTATAATGAATTACCATTTTAATTTTGTTGTAATATTATAGCTATAAACTAGATATATTTTCCTCTGAACTGCTTTTCATGCTGTGTGTGCAACTGAGTTGGATTTAGGGGAAATCTGTTAATCTGTTTTTCTGTACAACACACAAATAGACAGGAAATGGGCAGACTTCCTCCAGCACAAATGGTGCTAAAGCAACCTTCCTCAGTGAAAAAAAAAAGTCAGAGCGAGGAAACAAGTAGCAAGAAATAATACGATCTAGCATCTCTCTCAAACTGGTGTGAGATAGAAGCTACCAATTATGTTGACTTTTGTCTCTTTTGTAAGGTGAAAATGTTAAGAATCACAGTTGGCATTTTACATTGATGTTCGAAACAATATACACAGATAGATAGACAGATAGACGACCTTCAGAAAAGAAGCAATGAACAGTATACTTTTTCTCTAGACATTTGTTAATCAATGTTATGCAACAAAATAAAAAATAATAATGATAATAATATATTTTACTTGCTGACAGCGTGCTGAGAACAGTGTTTGCAGATGATGGACACTGACCGGTGCGGTCGTGGTGGCGGTGATGGCGGGCGTGCTGTTGTCAGTGCCGGCCGGCTCGCTGTGCGTCTGTGTGGGCGTGTAGAGGGTCATGGCGTGCTCAGGAACCCGGCTCTGCCCGGTGTAGTCCTGCGTTGGAAGCGGGTGTGGTGCCGCAAACTCTGCGGGGATACCATTCTGTGGGGGGGGCGGGTACTGGGCTGGGGTGTACGGCTGGGCCATTGCTTCTGGGGGGTTAGTGGCCTCTTGGTTACCCTGTGAGAAACACACAACAGGAGGCAAGTGTTAGAACTATAGTTGAGATTAAAGTTAAAGTGCATTGTTTGATTGCACAGGCAGCATGAAAGACGTGAAAGTTCACCAGTGCGATTTGGAAGGCAACTGGGGAGAGTTGTCCTGCAAACCAACTAAGTCAGGGGGAAACAGCCATCATATCACATCTCAGCTCAGATTAGAGAATTCCTTGATCATTGCTAATGAACACAGTTTATGTTGTAGAGCATGGCTCGCTGTTGGAGGGGCAAGAGTCAGGGGGAATCTCAACTGCACTCATGGCAAAGCACAAGAGGAAAGATCAATTAATTGATAAAATTTTGATTAGGGCCTTTGATTTCAATGACAGGTCTGTTAAACTAGCAGCTGCTCCCTCTCCAAGCTCCACTTTCCTACTTTTAACATTAACCTGTGTCTCGCTTTATGAGCTTTCCTTCTGCTCACTATCCCTGCCTTTGTCTCATCATTTGGAACTGTTTGATACAGGTGCAATGATACTTGGTAACAGTACGTTTTTTGGATACCTCTTTCCTGTTAATTAAAATTTTAAGTAGCCGTACAAGAACATTTCAACATATAATTATGTCTAAAACTGGCAAAATTTTAAATTAAGAAGTATGTTATGTGTTGTTAACCATTTGATGCCACCTTTTTGTACTTGAAGGTTTTAAGTACTCATTTGAGTGGATACCCAAAAAGAGATAGAGAAAGAGATACCACGACCTAGTTGTATTCATAGAACTCGCATTCTTCCATTATGCTTCCAGAATACACAGTATGTGGTATCTACACAGCACATGATTTTTTAGTCTCTGCTCCTGACTTAAGTGATAGATTGCCCTGCAATGGAGCAGTTTCACAGACCCTTTGTCTCGTGTGGATGCTGGAGATGATGAGCTGCAGAAATAATGGACTTTTCTGGCTGGTGCACATTGTTAAACTCGGTAATGGCTGGACTACAGAAGTGCATGTCTTATTGTTGCGAAGCACTAGGCTCTGCGAATCTAGACTAATGAGCAGAACAGTGAGATCAGTGCTGTTGGAGCGGATATCCATCCCAACATTAAAAACACAGAGGGAAAAGGTGAGACAATAACACTGAAATCCAATAACACCCCCTGCAAATACCCTCAATCAAATTTGAAGATACAGATCATGCGAGCTCAATGCATAACTCTTTAGATAACAGAGAGGGAGGAAAACGCACACAATAGCAGCCAGAAGTAAGGTTTTATGATTGGAGAAAAACAATAACAGTAAACAGATAGAGAAGTTTCTGTCTCTTCCTTTACAAGCTGGCTGGGGATAGTGAGATAGGAGATAAATGTGTTTTATTCTTCTTTTTTCTTGCTGCTGTGGTGTTTGGCCTCTTTCTGCAGATTTCTACAGAAAGCTCTATCTGGGCAGGAGGAGGCTGTGGTTTTAATGAGAGAGCTGAGCAACACTATGCTGTAAATGTAGTGGAAATAATTCTACTCTGACGTGTTGGCAAACAAACCTCGGCCTAAACTGTGCTCTGCCAATTAAGGAAATGCTCCATTATCTAAATGAAAAAAGAGAGAAGCCTTGAGTGAGGAGAAGGATTGACCAGCTTCCTGCAGCCTGCGGGGCCTGTATGAGTGGACCCTCACTCCTGCCTGACCTAATCCCCCTTCTCTTTTTCATTATACTGTATTTCTATCTCCTCTGTCTCTCCCTCAATCCCTCCACCCCCCTTTTCCTTTCATGCTCATCTCATCCTCCCCCCTCTCTTTTTATGCAGAAACTTTTTTAATCTCTACCCCTGTGCTCTACTTTTCCTCTCCCTCCAGTCATGGCATTATATAACGCACTTGCATTGCGGGGCATCCTAATTCAAGGAAGCTCTTGATGTTGGCAATTTTCTACTTCTAAGCGCCCCTTTTAAAGGCGAACGGGGTTGGTTACCTAAAAAAAAGATGCACCTCCTGGTATGACAGCTGAATGTACTACCAGATCCGGTGTCCTCCTTTTAACCATCCTGTGCAAAACATCAACACATCGGTACGCAACAGTCCAGCAGAGACAGAAAGCTCAGCAACCTGGAAACATGAAGGTGCTGTGTCTGACTGTTTGTACATCAAACACTGTTCACGTCATTAAGGAGATCAAAGCTTCACTTATGTCTTTTAGTTTAGTCACTGTCAAGAGCACAGCCCATGGTCCTGATTGTTGTTATTTAGGATTTACTTAGAGTTACTGAGTGTGTTTACAGGTTGTGATTAGGACAAAAATGTCAGAATTCAGGATAAACCCGGTTTTGAGACACCTCATTGTGCAAGATGGGTTATTCTGATTCAATCTGGGTTACTGTTGCACAATAGATAGGCTGACAAAAAACATAGGCTTCTCATTACTTATTCAACGAGACCCCTGCATTTGCACAGTAGGGGTCTCGATGCAGAGGGCTCCAGCAAAACAACACAGAGTCATGCGGCAAAAAGGTTTAACCTGTCTCAGCCTTTGCAGCAATGCATTGCAATGTCATCCTGCAATGCACTGCTGTGGCCAGTCAAATACATGCAGGCATACTGTGCTGGTAGATTACTTTGTGATGTGAACTATGTTTTTCTAATGTATACATCGCGATTGTTAAAATTATTTGAGTTGCAAAATTCTGTTTTATTGTAATATAAATAGCTGTGCAGTGTTTTGGCATCTGAGAAGCTGTCACACCTGTAGCAACATGCCCCCACGACATGGTGCTATTTTGGGTTTCTGATCACTACCATGTGCACAAGTTTGTTCATAATTCAACCAACAATGTTAGTTGATCAATAAAGCAAAATATGCTGATCTGCATGCTGAAATGAAGTTGAAAGTCTGAAGATAAATAGTTTTGTTCCTCTGGTCTTTCAATACCACTGATAACATATTAAAGCCAAATCCAGTAATGTGATAAACGCAGCGGTGTCACGTTAGCCAGAAGCCAGATTGGGTTCACCCTCAACTGTTAAGATAACAAAGTAGTTGTAACAAAAATTAGTGGCTAAGATGTGTAGGTGTCAGAGACACACCTGTACTAATGCACATAGCCAAAAACCTGGAAAATGTTGTGTATCATGTATACACAGAGCTGAATAACCAGGTTGCTTTGTGTTCCATATAAATATCATATCCCAGGTTTTAAATCAGGACACTAATGTGTGTGAAAAGACAGTGTGTAAGAATGTAAACTTGGACTGTAGCTTTAACCAGCAAGTGTTGACTATATTCTTAGCTTGTTTTCTGTGGATATTTATCTGGTCATGAACAGGAGCCTTAAGAACATGACATTTTATGGGTGCTTTATTCTGTCTGCTTCTGGTTATAGTTTCTTGTTTGCTATATCCTCGACTATTTCTTTGACAGTTCAGCTTAGTTTAGGGAAATCTATGATTTAGTTTACTTTCCTCGCTAGCAGTACTGGTCATTGTAGTGTTTCTTCTTCATGCCACAGTTCTGCATTTGTCATTCCATGTTGAACTAAACTTGTTAAATCGTCATCTGGCTTCACGGATCCCTCTGTGCTGGGGTCATAATCTGAATCCTTACAGTCACAGGGCACACAGGCCAGTGTATCTGTGTCGGGTCTGTAGCTATTTGAGCCTTAAACAAGTGCAAAGGAGTGAGACAGGGCCAAGTGACACACAAACAGGATAACAGCCTGGAGCTCGGTTTTGGAGAAAGAGAACTACTGAGTGTTGTAGCACCATGTCGTTGCTGTTTCAAAGGGCAGCAAGGCAAAAGCAAGGAGGCGGAGAGTACAGACCTCATTAGTGAAACACAAAGTAACACTGGCTCTCGTATGATCTTCGCCTTCCTCTGATGTATGTGACAAACGAGTTATTCAACTGGAAATGAACTGGGAGAAGAAAAAAGGCCCATGCAAATCAGGGGAGTTGTGCTTGTCCCAGTGCAACCACGTGCCCTTTTTGCTCGCGCTGACTAGCCGTCGTCAAGATAATCCATGGTGCCTAATGAAAAGCCCTCCATGACAAACCAGTCAGGTACACAGCACATCTCATTCCACTGAAATAGATTGCTGTTCATTATGGCTGCGAACGAGCGTTACGAGTTGTTGTTATATTGGGATCCTGGTGAGTGTTTCTCTACCTGCAGGCCTGTTTATGGGAAAAGAGCAGGTCCCTTTGCGGCACTTTAATGCCCCCCTTACATGGCCTGTTGCCATGAGCCGCCTAAACCTCATCTCCACGGACACGACGACGAAGAATAAAGGCAACCAGAGAGAGCAGCCTTTATCGATCTCCCATCCTTTCCATTCCTCTTTCCCTCCTTCCCTCCATCTCTCCTTTCACCCTTTCTACTCCTATTACTGAAGAGCACAATAAAAACACTATCTCTAATCTTAAGCACTCTCCTTGTGTAAAATTGGATTGGAAACCCTTACTTAAGGAGATCACTTTTGGAGCGGAGTTTTTGTTTTTACAGTCAGAATCAGGAGCCAAAGAGGTCAGGAAGGCCTTGAGGCAATGCCCACTGCTGAGGCTGCCAGTCCCAGCATACAGTATTTAGAGAGAGACAGAGACTTTCACTGGTGCTAACCCCGGTGTAGATGGTCAAGGCTACATTGCATCTCAGCAGGTACAACGGCTTGGCTTCTCGCCAGTGATCTGTGATCCTCTTTAGCAGAATGGGAGGGACAGTGTTGAGAGGCCAAGAGGAGATGGGCTGTGCAAATACAGGAGCTGTTAGGAGGAACTCATATCGGCAGAGTGCTGCACTGACTCATTCGTGCGATGGAGGGTCAAAGAGCAACGTGAAGGCAAAATACTGCAGGCGACTAATTGTGTTTCATTGAATCCGGAGGGAAATCACTCAAATGGGAGCAGGCTGATCAATCTCAGCCATGATGAAGTGGGCAGCTTTATGGCTTCAGCACAGTCACATGCAGGTTGGATCATTTTTCAGCAAAGGCCTTCATACTTTACATGGTTCCTACTGTGTGACACTAATAGTCTCAA